TGCACTCTATGCCATCTTCCAGGTCGTTGATGAAGGTGTTGAACAAAACCAGCCCCAGAACCGAAACCTGGGGCACTCCAGCTGCTGGTAGCTGGGAGATAATACATGACACTGTGCACATTAGCTGAATAGGCACATAGCTGGTTTATGTTAATGCAATCTAAGACTATGGAAATAGAGACAAGAGCCTGTGCATGGCAACTGAATCAGAAGAGTTGTAAGTTTTAAAACATTATTTAAGTGATAGTTTTAGCATGCGGCATACAACTGCTGTGATGGGGAATATTCAAAGGCACTAGTCTTCGCAAGTCTATGCTGAGGGGAGGATAAAGGATGGTGTTCAGTCTTAGCTCTGACAACACCAACCAATTTATAAAGCTCACAAGTTAGCTATCAGGGATGTGTGAAATTTCAATAGCCATGTTGTTTTGGAGGTGTTTCGAGCCATTTTGGCACCCGAAACAACAAATCCGAATTGAAACGGAAGGCTCAGAAACATCTCCAACACAAAATGAGGCATCTGAAACATTTCAGAAATGTTTTGGAAAAATTTCACGGTTTTGGAGCCAGGCTTGCAAGGAAACAACTGTATGCTGCTGCCCTGCTGTGCAACTCAGCTCCGCAGGGAGCAGAGATCCGCACCGGGGGTCTCCTTACTGCCGCTGCCCACCCAGCAGTGCCCTGGTGACACAGAGCTGCATGGGGCAGGCAGTGGTGGCAAGGAGACCCTGGTGAGGATCTGTGCTCCCTGCAGAGCCAGGTTGCATGGCAGGGACCAACAGGCTTGCTCGCCGCTCTGCGCTCCTTCTCTGCACTGAGACCCAGTATGAGAGGTATCAGAGATCCATGAGGGGGGTCTCCTCACCTGCAAGGAGGGCAGCAGCCCTCCCCCTCTCCCCGACAAGCTACCTACGGCCCCATTCTACTCCCCGCTGGGGCCCCAAGCCCTGCCTGGCTGGGTAGGGCTGTGTGAAGCTTCTCTTGCACCCTGTTCAAAACAGATTCAGCCAAAATAAAACAGGACAGTGATCCGAAACACTGAAACGAATCACTGTCCTCCAAAATGGCCAAATCCAAAACAGAATCAAAACACAGCCGTTTCACACAGCCCTAGCTGTAAGAAAAACCTTGTGTGCACCAGAAAAAGTCTAACATCATTAAGCTATTTTGTTTCTTATTTTTCAAAATTCTGAAAACATGTTATTAGTAGTAACACCAATATGGTAAGTAAACTTTTTTAATATTTTGAAAACTTATTTTGGTTTTGATACTGTCAGCAAGCATATCTGTGAATCAGTCCAACTCAGAGAGGTTTTTTTTAAATGCAAAACCATTATGATTCAACTTTTTAATAAACTGCACAGAACATCTACCCTATTAGTCATACACAATGCAATTATATTAACCTATAGCATCCCACAATCTACTGCAAACTGGGAACACAAACCTGTCCATCAGGAACAGCACGCCATGCATTTGAATATATAACCACCATTTAATGGCACCATTTAATACAATAATATTAAGAAATTAGAAACAAATTACATCCCAACATGTGATCCCCCAAGTATTTTTAGCAAGTGACTTAGACAATAACCTGGAATGACCCCTGGCAGTGAGCCTGACTTGTTACCAGCTCAGTGCAACAAGAGCTGCACCCGGGCCAGTAGAGAACAAATTGTATTCCTTCTGCTGTTTCGCACCATTTCCTTCTCCTGATTCCACACAGAACAGGGCGAGTACTGGAAACCCCTAGCTCAAATGACACTCCTCCCTACGGTAGGATAAGTCCAGCAAACTGCTTCCTAAAGGTAAGACCTATGGGCAACAGATGATTCAGCAAAGGGAGCAAAAAAAAAAAAAAAAAAAAACATATTACTACCCTTGCATTATTCAAGGAAATCCCTTGATGTCAGCACCACTAGATGGGTGTTTTATTTCCAGAAGAGATGATCTCAGGGTTAGGAAAAAAGGCAGGAAAAGAGACTGTGAGAAGGTCCGGTGAGAGAACAACTACAACCAAACTCTAATTCTTACCTATATGTAAAAAGGTTAGGCTTATCATTAGATAGAAGGAATAAGTGTAAGATGTAAAGAATGAGATTACAGACGAAGCTTGGAGGCAGGAGTGTGGGAAGCAGTTTTTATTTTAAGGGGGAAAATGTGTAAAACTAATAATCATGTAACAGCATTATTCCTTCCTTCATTTTTGGTCTATTATTCACATAGGTCCCAATTCTATAATCAGAACTGTAAAAACATACCTTTATACTGTCTGAATGCTTGGGTCTCTCACACACATGAAGTTAAACATATGTATGTATGCAGTATAAGGATCTAAAAGACTTGAAATCACTTGCTGCATTAAGTCTTTACTTGCTTTCCTCTACTTCTTGTAATAGATCCTTTTCTTCTATTGTTTCACCATCTTGTTTAGCATCATTTTTTGCTCCCTTTGTTTATGATACTTCCCTTCTTCTTTTATTTTCTGTTTAACTTCTCTCCAAATCTCTGGCAAATGGCACCTTACCTACCCACCCTAAAACCTTTTGTGTGAATGACTGAGTGGATAGGCCCAAAGGGTTTGGCAACAGTAGTCAATATGTAATAAGAGGAGGGTTCTATGTGAGAAGTCAAGTCTGCTTTTTGGAAAAAAGAAAGATGCTATGGGCTTTCCTCTCCAGTAATGGGCTCCATTGCTTTTGTGGGGGGGGGGAGGGGATTGTTACAGCTTTCAAAGGCAGCAAAAGAATGAAACAGACCTGATTCTTGTCCTTTTCATTGTTGCCCACCTGGTTCTCAATAGCAAGAGTGAATACTAGAATCCTGCCAGCTGTTATCCTTCTGTTGCAGGTTAGAAACAGAATGAGCAGGAACAGCAGCAATGGAACTTCTCTCAAAGTTTTTTTTAAGTCACCTTCAGACGCAACTGGCTTACACTTGATAGGTTACTTCACAGTAATGATTGTTGGAACCTCTACCCCCATCCTGCTCCCAAATTAAAAGCTTGCATACTGCTCTACCTTTTGCACACTGTAGAAATTGATACTTGCTGAAAACATTTCCTGTGAGTGAGGGGCTTTTTAAAAGATCTGCTAAGCATATCACCCTCCCAACCATCCCTAGGGAAAATATTAGCTTCCTGGTTTCTATCATATCAAACTGAATGACAATTTGTCCCAATCCATATCAATTTTTATTTCCTCCTACCCTTTCCTTTCACTCGCTTGAAACAAATCTTCCACTTTGTCATCAGCTGGATGCCTCCTCTTATATCCCATTTCTGCTATAAGTCTTTAATATGATGAGACTTGAATTATTGTTCAAGTTTTCTTACATACAATTTTAACTGTTCCAGACAGTAGCAGCAGACAGATATAACTTAAACTGTTTTAAAGGGGAGAGGGACTTACCCCACTATAACCATTTCATCTGTCAACTCCTGCATGCTTACAGTGGCACTAAGCTGCTGTAACTTTATACTTGAATGAAACCGGTGTAAAGTTACAAAGGTTTAGCTTCCACTTAAAATGGAATAGAGCTGATAAGCAAGCATCTTTCAAAAGTCCGCTGTAAAGGATTATAATTATAAAGTATTTCAACTATTTTTTGTGCAGACATAAAATATTATTCTTTTCTTTATAAAGAATTCTAAACTTATGGTGTTGTATAAATAATAGGAAACAGAATTAAAAAGGATCACAAAGGTCACTGGGTCAAGCCCCCTTTCATCACAGGTAACATACAATAAATATTTGCCCAAAACAATCCACAAAAACATCTAGAAGGGCCCACCTTGTACGCCAATGCCATAAAACTCCCTACAATAAGCTAAACAGGAAGACAGAAAAGCAGTACCCACAACATGCTACAGGAAGAAAGCAGGAGAGACAAGGGTGCCACCGATGTGCTTTGGGCCCCAAAAAGAGCAGGGAACGTATTAGGTAAAACAGGACCAAATGATCCTAAGAAATGAACAATGTCCCCTGGTAAGGAGGAGAGCAAGAACTCCTCGCCCATCCAACCTGAAAAAAAATTATTTCCCAACTAATTTTTATTTATGTTAATATTACAAATTAATTTTACACCTATATTTTACCGCACTTTTGTTGGATAGCATCAATCACTTAATACTGTTTTCTTTGTTATAGAGGAAACAGCTGCTTTTGACAAAGCTTATTTTCATAGCATGTCAAACTATCTTTGCTCCAACAATAATAGCTACAACCACAGGTGAAGCAGCAAAGGGAATGACCTGCTTTCTTTCCTGAAACTCTCAAAAATAACTCTGTACACTTATGTCTGTACAAGTGGCCATCCACTATTTCTTATGTGTAAATCCGGACAAGCCAGTTCTTGGCTTTTTATCCCTCAAAAAACTGTTTTAAGTTCTCTAAGCTCCACTCCAGGAGACAAATTCATGCCACGCCACCCACCACAGATCAGCCTGTTCTGTAGTGAAAGAAGTGCCTTCCCTCAGTCAGCTCCTTTCATAACGAGAAAAAAACAAGTCTCTATTTCGGCACCTGCCCACTTAGTCTCTATCCCAATACTGAAAAAAAGACTCCACGTCCGCGAAAGGCAAGGCCCGTGGGGAAGGCAATGGGCTCTCAACAACATCTCGACCCAAGGCTGAGGCCAAGAGCATGGGGCTGACGCCAAGAGCTCGTGCCAAGAGCCCGGGTCTCGGCCTCAGCGCTCACTCACAGCCGTTCCAGCCGGGTGTTTTCGAAGCTGGCGTTTGTCCGGAACGAAACTGTCCGTAGGAGGCGCCGCCTGCCCGGCGCGGGGCAGCGCCCAGGCCTCCCCGAGCACCAACCCCCCCAGACTAGGGAGACACGTTTACGAGAGAAGGCCCGGCCTCAACCCTCCAGCAACACCGGTCCGCCGGGTCCCCGCCGGCCGCTGACGAGCGGGGCACCCCGGCCCGGCCCACACCGTACCCGAGAAGGCGGAGCCGCCGCTGCGGCAGAGCAGGAGGCCGAGAGGCGGGTGCGGCCCGTGGACTGGCCGAGCCGAGCAGGGGGGCCCTGCCGAAGACCCGGAACAGTAGCTGCCGCATATCCAAGCCTCGCCGCGGCTCCCGCCCGGTGCCCGCCCCTTCCCTTCCCGCGCACAGCTCCCCTCTCGGCGCGGCAGCGCCATCTTCTCGGCCCCGGCGCCCGCCCGGGCCTAGCAGGGCAGCGCGGAGGCACCTACCTGGCGCTGCGGCAGCTGCCTCTGCGGCTGACGCGGGGACAAGGGGCGGGCCTCGGGGACGCGGCG